ATATATATATATATATATATATATATATATATATATATATGATTTTAGGTTGAATATTCAAAAGAAATTGCGGCGCGTCATGGAATAAAATAATGAGAAGTGACTGACAGTGGCATACTTCAAGCTGCAGTTAGCGTAAACCCACAAAGCAGTGTCAGACCAAGAACAGAACTCAATGTTATTACCTTCTTGAGTAATAGTTAGTTGAGCGCACCAGTTCACTCAGCTCATGCACGGTAATTCACAGATCATTTTGCAAATTTTATTCAGCTTAGCCTTAACTCGCAGGGTTACGCTTAATGCAAAAACATCTGAAGACGAATTTTGTGAGAAAACAAATCGATAAAGAACTGAATCTTGTTCAACATTGACCTAATTTAGTAAATAGTTTAGAAAAATGAATCGAATCAACGCATGTGAAGTTACAAATAAATGGTATTTCTCTGTATTGCACGGTAGATTCCTTAAAAATATTCTTTAGGGTTTCATAATATGTAGTTCGAAATCGTGTTGTACTCGCTGAGAGGGTAGATCGGTTTGTCCCCATTTAGCTCAGTTGAAAGCTATCAGTGAAGCAAAGACCCTATGCATCATTACCCGATAATTATCATTAGGCTTTTTACCGGGCTAAAAACAAATGGTCAAGTAAAACTACACGTTTCTGCTTTCTTTTCAAGAAGTCCAACGTTTGCGCCTAAAATACTTGCCCATCCAGCCATAAATGTTTGAGGAATGCAAACCTTCATTTGTTTTACAAAAAACTGAATATCCTGTAAAATAAAGACAGTAACAAGACCGTTTGTTTTGGGCAATCCGTATCGATCGTGCCAGTCATTTGCCTTTATGCAAACTAGTTCGTAACCATCCCCGTTTAGGGGAACTCTTATTGATTAGCGCCACCGTAACACTGAAAAACAGTATGAAGTGAGGTATGTTTAATAATGCACCAAGAATATTATGCCAAATCGTGGTGGAATGTTACCAGTTCCCGGGACCAAAACAAAAGAATCCGGAAATAACTAGAATTCATGACACTACTCTGAGCCGAAGCCGAATCGGAGCTAACGGGTCTTTTTGCTCCAATTCACTATGAAAAGTGGTGTTAGTTAGGGCTTATTCTCCTCTCCCTCTCTGAGGCTGTATTAGGCTCTTTTCAATATTGGGTGTACACAACCTTACACTTTCGTGCTGAGGTTTTGGTTGCTGTCAAAAGCACGAAAATAATGAATCAAACCACGATTTACTTCGGCGCATATCGAATTAAAAATGAAAACCTGGAATCTTTTGATAGTAGGAAAGCTGTGATAAAACAGCTCGACGGGAGCATTGACGCGGATCAGACTGGTCATTGTGTTCCGTGGGAGTTCAAGATTGGCGGGGCAAATTTGAAAAAATTGCTAAACTTGTATGCTACATTGACTGGGAATGATTGCGAAAACAATTAGTCAAAAGATGGAAATAAACCCCCAGTCATAGATAAGATAATTATGACCGGTTTTCACATTACTCGCCCACATTTCATGCAGTCTGACTTTCCATTTCAATTTTACTTCTATGCCAGCTTCTGAATGAAACAATTACACTTCAAACTTCACCTCCGCGATAGTTGAGCAAAATGGTTGAAAGTAACATTGCAACAAAACAAGAGCTTTAAAAAGATAGTTTTATTGATGATGAAAATACTCTTGAAAATAAAATGATCCTCATATCAAAGTTACCATTCGGCTTGAGGGCACAGCTAAAATACGCACTTTACGTGAATTTTATCTGACCTTGGAATCCACAATCTGGTCAAAATTGAGTACGAACACTTAGGGGAGGGGGAAGGCTGAGTACTTACAACCGCCTTCGTTTGGACCTACCTATAATGAACTGACCACTATGAAAAAAGATACGCTAAAGGATCGTGAATAAGTAAAACAATAGTAGGTATTTAATTAATGTGCTACCACTCATTATGTACCACACACGTTGCAGTTCAAAACACATCTTCACGTTTCACAAAGTATTCCGTTAGAATTGAGGCAAACAGCACTTGACTTGTTATTGCAGCCTTGGGGTACTCACATAAAACATACCATCCCCACTTTAGATGGTTTCGTGCAAGTTGCACCGTATAGAACAGGGAGGGGCCTGAGGAATCTCAGCACCGGGCAAACACGTCCTTTGAGTTGTACGAGTAACGTTTGTGGTTGGGAGCAGCTACGGCTAAGGCACTAATGGTTGTGGTTGCTAGACCATCAGGTTAATCACCCAAGATCATCAAAACAACAACGGCGAGGGTCAAACGAGCCCCCGCCGTGTATATTTTCAGCACTGCAATTATATCTCGTGAATTGGGTTGCAGTCACCATGTAAGGGGCATGATCGGTTACTAAAATCATGATCCATTGCGGAGGTACTCGTGTTGACCCGGCTAGACATATCGATCTTATCAATCGTTTGAAGTTACCAACGGTATCAGCGCTGAAAACAGCCAAATTCATTTTGTTGAAAGTTCAAGAACGTAAAGTTCCCCGTTTCAACCATGCACGGTAGTAAACTTAAAAAGTACTTTTATTTGTCTTTGGGGGATCAGTTCATTCCGACTTGACGAATTTGGTGGACTCGGTTCAATTGGTGACGTGTGAAGGCTGAAGGACCAATCGCTTTGTGGTATTCCTGGTAGTGTGATTCTTTTGTTACACTTGAAGTTACAGCGAATTCACTTGAATTCGAAAAGGCATAGTGTCGGAAGCCGCAATATCCCTGATTCCTGTGCGGTGGGAGCCTCTGGGTGTTAGATAAAGTTCGATTGTAATCGATTAGACAATCCGATTAGACTGAGTGACACTTGTACCGGATGCCTTATCGTTTCTCCGAGTCGTAACCATCCCGCATTTTGTTTACCAGCGTGTTTAGATAGTTACCTGGTCGAACGATCATTATAAGTAGGTGTAACCGTGCAATAAAATTTGTAGATGTGTCTGGAATCAATCAACAAATGCAGCTATTATTCGTTCTGGTGACTGATCGTGGAGAATACACACCTCGGTTCCGCGGTATTGAAAGGGAAGGTCACCGTCACATTGAGGGTTTCACTGGCTCTCTTTCTCAGCAACCAAGTATCCTGGAACCTGATGAATAATGTTTCCTCTGTAACTTGTGGGATCTTCTCCCGTTTCGTTAGTTCGTTCAACTGCTGGCCAGTAAACCTATCTGGATACTTGTTTTTTTATAAATGCCTTATTTTTCCCAGTCTCTCTGCGAACCTTTCTTTTGAGCAAATACGTCCAGCAATTTACGTATTCAATGATGGGAACGAAACCATGAAAAGTAGTGTAGTGGTAGATCCAAGACATTCGGAAATACTTCTTCCTTTGTAGAATCATTCGAATACCCATATAGATCAACTCCAGGTGACTTTCTTATTTTGAATTTGAAAGGAAATTGATCTCTAGATATACTGAGTTGAAATGGCTGAGATGTCACGAATGTTTGTATCAATTACCATCTGTATACCAATGATGGCGGTCAAACTGGTTGATAACTGTTGCGCCAACCTTATCATGTAGATATCAGGCAAATGTGGTTTGATCAGAGATCCCATCAACACCCCATATTTCTGAGAGTAAAACTCTTATGTATTGTTATTGTTGTTGTTGCGTGCGCTAAAGGAAGAGAATCATAAGTTCAGATCAGATGTGAATCATGTGGAACAACTATGCTCATCTCCTTGTAGAAGAGTGAGTGAGAAATTGACATAAAAATGGAATGTTTTTCGTTCTGACTCCTGTCAAACGGTATGTGAACGCAACAAATCTGTTTTGAAAGGTTTTTGTTGTGTTTCTTAATGGATTATGACGATCGTGTAGTAATGTATTCTGTATTGTATTGTATTCTGTTTAATCAGTTATCTGCGTTTTGTACCTGTCTGAGAGCCAACACATAAGTTTTCACAGTGTGTAGCTTCCAGTAAATCACCTCAACATAAAATTTAAATGAAATACTGATTGAAACCACTATTGGTCCAAACTGAACATTATTGACTTACACGTAAGCCAACAAAACGTGTTTCAAACTTTCCCGGATGGCCTGCAACTTCTCCCGCATTTGTTTGTTCATAGAATGCAACTGGCTTTCACGAACCTTGTGTGCGGCATTCATGTCCGCTAACAGATGTCGAATATAACGTCGAAGCCCCTGAACAGCTTGACCAGCAATCACGTGATCTTTGGATAGACTTGCATCGACCAAGTGCTGATTAGAAATACAAAATTTCAAGGGATAATTCAACTATATAGAAGCAAATTTATGAGCGTATGAGCCATGTGTCAATCTCGTGTATATTTTTTCAGTTTTTTCTTCATCAGGGTTCCCACATTCAATAAGCGATATGTTGTCAACCACCGTCAGAATTGCGGTTCGTAATTAATGAAAACAATTTTAATTATTGAATGAGAGGATCGAACAAATTTTCACTAAACAATGCAGAAGAAATAAGTTGAAATCGAAAAATTGAGTCCGAAACTCCGTTTAGTTAAAATTTATATTCTGTACCGCATATCTTCTATTCGGGACCACGCTATAAAGATTTGGTTGTACGCTCGATACCCCTAGCAACAGATAAAAATATTGTCGACAATAACCGGGAGCAAACAGGAATAGTTATTTCAGTTTCATTACAGAAATTTTGCAAGCCTAGAAGCCGGAATATCTGGCAAAAAAACCCGGCAATCTGTCAGCTTATTTCAGTCGAGCTCACAGCATTAGTGTAAGGTTATTGTGGACAACGAACTATGCTCTGTGGAGCACCAACTCCGAGTCGAACTAAAGATACATGCAAAATATTCCAATAATCACTAGTTGGAACGAAATTTTCATATATACAGTGTTTATCACGTATTCCACACTACAGATTGAACCATTCACTCACGTACATTGTACGAATAAATGTAAAATATAATTCTTTTCCAGAAACAGCGCACAAACGGTGCTGGTAAAACTATACTTTTAGCATTTGAATTGTTTAACTGTAACGGTTAGGAATATTCCTACATTTAGATAACGTCAGCCTGGGAGCTCCGGGGTACAGTTTCAGGCGATTCGTAAAGCCCATTGCTCTGGACGAATATAAATCACCGCCACTCAGTGAAAAACAATATGAATGGAGAAAAACGGACGCTGATAAAACAACACCTAGTGAACTGTTCCCTTGTACATATTATTTAATCCATTTGACTTCTTAGGAAACGAAACCTACAATGTGTTGGCAAATCACCCGAATTGAAGAAAGATGAAAATACTGCGGCGATTTTTTCTTCAAATAAGTTTCACCCGCCACACGTTCTCTATTCCTACATTCTTTCATCCAATAAACCTCGAAAAAAAGTGGATGATGCTATCCTCAATCAATGAGATTTGACAATAAGAGAGTTAGCGGTCAGAAAGTTCGTCTTCAGGTGATGTCAACAATTAACGTAAGCCGCTGAAAACGCTCAGAAGCCTCGCACAACTTCTCCGTTCTTTGATGGAATTATCTGTTGCTATAAGCACCATGCTTGTGACCACGCAAATATATATGTTAAGGGTCATGAACACAACGTGTTAGGATGCACCTGGCTGACTCCATCGATTAGTCTGTCATCAGCGCTTCCGAAAAGGATTACAAGGCAACTCAATTGTACCGTTTAAAGAGTGATTCGATAAGATGAGAGCAAAAATGGAATGGAACTTCTTTGACAACTCCATATTTGTTCTTTTATTGATAAACCATATGGAAGCTTTTCCATAAGTATAAGAATTTGCATATAATCAACCTCACAGGAAGCTAACAGCGTATATTCGTATCCTTCCTGCTGTCCACCTCTTTTTTCTACTGTCAGCGAAGATTTCCAGGCGCTAATGAGTGGATGGACAATTATCAGTCTATTATCTCCGATTCATTTGAACTAATGAATTGCCAAATCACACAACATGATTATGAACGCCCGCGCGGATTTCGTGCATAGCGCGCTCAACAGAATGCATTCGCTTCGTATTTAATTCAATACTAGATACAAGTATGTATGAAAAAATGTTCATAGGACAATTTTCATATCTTCGAAACCCTATGACAGTCTCTTAATAGGCCCTTTTCCATTCCTTGAAAAATCATCATACGATTGTGTAACCCAGAAAAGGAATAAAACAGGGTAAACACAGGAGAAAACCGATCACATTCACAGTTATTTGAAAAAATAATGATAAGGCAAACAGAAAACTTATTTTGATATTATTAGTGAAATTCATCGCAAATTGTAAAGATGATATTTGAAATAACAGGGAGCAAAACATTCGTTTCTGGTTTTCCTTCACTGAAATTTTCCTCACACAGACGTTTTAGCAAGACCTCTGTGTTTTTTTGTGAAATCTGATTGCTTCTTTGGTTTATCATTTCTTTGTTCGTAGGTGAACTACTCACTGGCAGTTACTCAAATTAAGCTACGTTCTCTCATTTATTATTCTGGCATTTTGTACTATTAGTCTCTGTTGTTCCTCAACCTTCCTGCGTTTTGCATTGGCTTTGAATATCGTTCTTTTTATAAGTCGTCTCACACCCCCATACTGATTAGTCTAATCCGATACGCCCCATTTTCATGTACTGCACTTGTCTCTTTGCGGATCATTCAATTCTCCCCGGGCGTTTGTTCCACGCCCCTCGTCTCGATGTTTTGATCCATTTTGTTCTTAAACTACGCCCATCATTTTGATACTACACCTTCGTGATTTGACTGAGAGCGTATGCCCTCTCTCGGCTTGCACTTTTGTGACTGTATGATTGTATTCCTCCTGCCGGACACAGTTGAGTCATGTTTACATTTTTCAGATTTTATACATTACTGGAACAGAAGCAGACTGTTTGTGAAAATTTGGACTTCAGTAATATGCACATTTCATTTGTTGCAGATAGGAAGCTGATGTGACGAAGCTGACATTTTGGTATCACCTAAAAAGTGCTTGTATTATCATTTACTATTTTTGATGAAAACCTTGTCTGATGCATTCTGTAACCACGAGAAAAATGAAATTGTTGACCAATTCTGGTTCTCTAACTCTCCAGAATGTCTGAATCACGAAACGACTAATTTGCACTGTAGAACGCCAGAGATGTATCGTCATAGATATGTGTTGCGGTCAACTTGGCATTGCACCACGAATTTAAACCGAGCAATAAGTAATTCGCTGATCATAACTCTGATGCTATTATCACAAAATTTGAAGCTGAACAAAGTTATATTAGATAATCTTGTACCTAGTTTGAGATGTGTTTAAAAAACGGTTGTCTGGCAGCCAATTTAACTGTTCCGTATACCCGGCTCCGAATACAAGCGAAGATTTCTAAATAAAAAAGGAACAGAACCAAGTGTTCTGTGAATAGGGTTTTTAGCATTCTGATAAAAAACTGTTTGGTTACATAAGGGCAGGAGCAGTTTAGGATGATAGCTGACTTCAATTGACATCTGGAAAGAACAAGATCTCATCCTCTTTCAATAGATAACAAATGGTCACTTGACTCCTTGATATCGAAAACTGATTCCCTTACTATTCCATAGGTGTAAACTGAACGCAAACTCACGCAATAAAGCTGGTAGTCTCAACGGGAATCAGAGATGGAACTTATCGCCACCGTGGAAAATTTCTGTCAGCTGCTCGATCTGGTCTTGGTCACTGGTAGAGAATCTCTGGGTGAGAGCAAAACGACGAGCGAAACCGAGGGCTCGCCAGTTCACAATCACCAGAAATGTCTTGCAAGTCTGGCGGAGAACTGCGAAAAACAGCTTAGATGGCTACCCGCGTCAGCTTCTCTATCTGCTACTCTGTCACACATCAGATGTTCTGTTTCGATAGGCTCCTCTTCAGAGGTGAAAATCAGCAAGGAGATTGAAGGGCTAGAGCGTCTCGAAGTGCCGGGTTCTGATGCCTTATCCCCGGCTATATGGCGGAGTAAAGCTGGTTATGAAACTGTTTGTTCTGTTCTACAAAGGTTGGCATAAAATAAGCAGGTTCCGTAGTCTTTTTTGGGAGGGGGGATTATTTGTCGTCCATGGAACTAAAAGTGCCCGCACATTGACTGCGTTAAGTGTAAGCTATGAGCCTGATCCAAATAGCAACACCGCTGTTGGTTTCCGCCATTCTACGCAAACTGTACATTATGCGGGAAGAGTAGACTAGCGACAAGCAGGCTGAGTTTCACGCCGGCGGTGGATGCACCAATCAAATCTTCATCCTTCGATAGTTGCTAGAGCACCGTCATGCCTTCCAAAGAACAACGATCATTATGTTCTCATACATAAGTGCGTCCTTCGACTCTACGGACACGATCGCGTTAAGGGACTGCTTATTGAGAACTGAAGTATATGATAAGTATGTGTCGATTCTAAAACAGTTGAACAGTCATAGCTCAGGTTGGATTAGGATCCATGGCTAACTTACACTGGCCTTTGCTCTATTTATTGATATTTGACCAGATTGAATTTCTTGACCTGTAGGGTTTTCGCAAAAATGAAGTGGCCACTTCACAAGCACTGATGATGTCACTTTGGCTGGTGATGAAACGTTTGCAAACAAATTGCCAAATTCGGCGAACAGGCGAAATAGAATTCAGTCCATCCGAGCTACGAGAACCCATTTTAAATATTTTGTCCACAGACCACAAAATTTCGTTGTTTAGCTTACTGCTACGGATGTCAAGATTGAATATGTGACAACGTTGCATCCATTGTTTGCTTAGAATAATATACTGTGGGCGAAGAAACAATGTGAGGTGGTCGAGGATTCATAATACTACAGACTCTAAAAACAAATGAATGATATTGTCATTCTGGTCGACTGTTTTCCAGGATTAATTTGAATGAGTGCCCTCTGAATTGATTAATGGGCGATAAAGTGAACAGTGAACGACATGGGTGACCAGGGTTTGTATTATTGCATACACCAAAATAAAGTCTCTGCGAATTCGGTGATACTGGGTGGCGTACCATCCCAATCATTTCTGTTGCCATATAAGTCTTGGAATGCACTCCCTTGAACACCTTGGTGACCATTCCTTTAGGATGTTCCAAAAGCTTTCAATCGCGTTGCACGAATGGATTCCACGCTTGAATGGTGCGGTAGAATACAGGCTGATGACAATAGTTGAAACAGAAGAGATCCGAATTTACAAAGATTCGCTTTAAGAAACCCACATTTCATGCAGCTGCGGAGGACACCCTGGAGCGGTGTAAAGAACAACTTAGGTCGGTTTGAATGATGAACCTGAGATCTTTCTCACTCGAGGAATACAAAAGTTGTTGATATTTCAGAGAGTACGCAAATCGGGTTTTAAGGTGAAGGGGAACGCCCCGGAAATTTTGATACATTGAATTCGATGCCACTTTTAACTGATAAGCTGCACCAAGTATGCTCAGAAGTGCCGGTGAGTCCTCTGGTTTTGTCAGTGTTTTGCATACTTTTACATGGTCTCAAACAGAGACGCTTGTGGCTCCAGAACGTTCGTTAGGTGGTTTATGAAGACTAGAAAAAGGTGAAGACCAAGTATGGACCCCGTATAACTTCTCGGAATACGTTGCTAGAACCAGATAAAACACCCCCAAACCCGAGCTGACATGATACTTTGTAGAACAAATTCTTCTAACCAACCTAGTAAAATTCCTCGAATTCGATAATTTCACAGTTTACTCCGAAATTCTTTGAAGACTCCACTTTGCTGGGTGACACTACACAGGCAGTTCGACTTACGTTAGACAGTTGGTGATCAAGGTGTCCAGAGACTGATTACATCCAGCTACATCAGAACAGCCGTTCAGTGCTTCCCAGCTTTTCAGTTCACATTTTGTTTGTTGTAACTAATAGTGAACGTCGTTAAAAAGTGGAATTTAACCATTCAGTACTGATTGTGAG